CCAGAGATTTCCCTACAGCAAGGCAAGACCAACTCATATCAACTCTACAGTGCTGTGGTATGTAAACAATCAGTGACCATACAATTCTGTTCATATCCACAGAGTTTGACAATATTTGATGCAATGGTATTATCATATACCTAAGAAAACAAACCATTTTCCTTTCTGTATTTACTCTGTGAATTTGAATCCCTTATATATATATATGTCTGCTGTTATTTTTGAAGATCAGTAGCAAATTCATATAGTATTTTAATATCAGCCCAGCTCCAGAGCAATCACTCTAAGAAATGAATGGTCCTTTGATTGCTTTACTTTCTTTCTAATAAATATAGGTGTGATTCCTATATGTTAGGCATTCTTCCAGCTGTATATTAAAATCTATTAAATAATGTGAATATGATTCTACACTAATATTCAAAGACTCTTTACAGAATTTGTAGGGAGCTAACAATTCCAGTGGAGCAATTTGTTTAGAATAGTGCCTTTTGAATATCATGGTTGTTTCCTGCTTGCTACAGAAATCCTCAGAAATCCTTTAAATCTCCAACATACTTTTGTTGAATCATTGTAGCTGTATTAAAACAGTCCAAACATGAGTTACATATATCTGGAGCTCACTCATTATGTATGTGCTGAAGTTGCTCGCTGTTTATTTTTCACCCAGGTTTCGAAAGTCTCTGCTGTGATGTTCAGTTTCCCCAGAAACATGAAAACAAGCCTTTTGAGGAGGTGGGAAGCTTTTGCAGATGCCAAATGCTCCTATTTTAGCTGGAAGTCACAGCACATTTATAAAGATTGCCTTGATGTGTAGAGCATTTAAGCAGTCTCAATTTCTATTAAAATTTCAGATGAAAAATAAAGACAATGGAAAAAAACATTTATTTCCCCCAGTTTTCTTGTTCTTAAGGTTGTATTTTGGCAGCTGTTGATATATGAGATGATAGAAAGGAAATTAGGTTTGTTGTCAGAGCCCTGTACATGGGCTGCAACAGTCCTTATTTCACCATTTGGGCAAGGGGAACAAGGCTAGTGTGTAAGGTCTCTAGCTGTCCTGCAGAGACTGCACATGTGATATTCACCCCTGTGAGGAACTGGGCAAGAAATGATGGAGAGATTGGAAATGAATGAGCCCTTCATCCTTCCTTTCACTTTCCCATTGCTGACCCTCTTAGGTGGACCCTTGCTGGAGGCAGAAATCAATGTTGCATGTAGTGCTCAGCCTGCATGAAGCCTGCTAACATGCATGGTAAGATTTCCATTGCTCTCAGTGAAATCTGGAGCTATTGTTTTAGCAAAAAATCAAATTATGAGTTAGTTTTATTTGAGGTATTTTCCATGTGCATTAAAACCTGCTTTGTAATATTACTACTCATTTTGTGTGGCTCTGCGGAAGCCGTTGGAACATGTCTGTCTGGCAAGCATGCACTGGGGTTTCCCAGACTGTTCTTATATGCTTTACTTTTTCCTCATAAATATTTCCCCATAGCTCTTACTTATTTTATTCTCAATTAAGGTGCATGTTGCTGCATTTTAAGAAGGCAACAATAAGAGTTTGAAGCTTTTTTTTAAATATTGTCACCTATTCGTGCTCCTGAATGACATCTTCATATAAAATGCATATTTCGTTCAACTGTATTCTGCGCCTTTAGCTGCCAAGGCTGTGTTGTTGTATTGCTTGTGTCAGGACCAGATGTGCATCCCCCTTCTAGGACATGACTTGGCAAAGGTAAAGCATTGAGCTGGCTGAGTCCGGGGGGAGCTCCATTGCTGGCGTGAGCCCCGTGTCGCTGTGGATGTTCTGGGAGAGCTCTGGATGATGCCTGACCCTGATTGCCATGTGGATTTGCCTCTCCACATCCTGGCTCCTTGGTGGAGGGTGCTGCTCCCACCTGCCTTGCTATCCTGCTCAGCTCCTGGTTCACCATCCCTCATGGACCAGTTGGTCCTCGCTGTGCCCTGACAGCTGACATGATTATCCCTGAAAATACGGTTTTGTGACAGATTGCAGGTTAGCAGCAGAACTTCTCCCTGACTGTGAGTTTTAAACTGTTTTATGTCACAGAGAAAAACTGTAAAAAATTAATATTTATACATGGGATATAGAGCATCCTTATTCATGTAAATAAAATGGAGTGTTTCCTTTTTCATAAGCTCAGGAAATGCCAGTTCAAATATGCATTACAAAATAGCAGCTGGTTGGACTTTTTTTGGTACAGTTTTGGGTGAAAAGTGAAATAAGATGAAATTAAAACAATTTTTGTTGTAAAATATGATGAAGGTTCAGAATGGACAAAGAAGTTCTGAAGTAAACATTTTCCAAGATGTTTCCTTTTGGAATTTTTCAGAATTTCATTTCTGAGTTCTGAAGCTTTGTTTTGACCTATGAAGGGATTTGATTTTTATATTATTGTTAATATGTTTTACACCATATCAGTACAAATGTTCAGTATAATGCTTGAAATATTTTAATTTTATTCTTTATGTCTTAATTTCCAATGGGAACAAGTTATCTTTTTGAGTGTTCTGGTGTTTGCCATACTGAAAGAATTTAACACTTGAATCAGTTTTTCCTTCTGGGACTGCTGTGACACTGTGAACACTTAATACAAAGCAATAGATAGTTCAACCAACACTAAATAGACCATACTCTTACTGATTATGAATATTATTCATTTAAGTATTATGCTGTACAACTGTCAGTTTGTGCACTGTTAAAAGCGGCCAATCGTTAAATAAGATAAACCAAATACAAACAGTTTTGAATATTAAAACCTTACAAATATACTTTCATCCTGAATTAAAACAAAAAGTTGTCAAAGTAACCAAATTTCCAGTAGAGCAGAAATTCAAGGTTTCCCCATGGTCTATATCCAGATCTAGTTTTTATGGGGAACTCAGTGACATGTGATACTGGTGGCTGAATCAAATCCTAGAGTAAAAAATTAGCCTACAATGCAAATACTGATTATATATGACTCTACCCCTTGCACTTTCTGAACTGCTTCCCCTTAGCCTTTATTTTCAAGCATTCTGCTCACTTAACTCTCTATATAAATGTGTGCTTGAATTTGTCCCAAGGGTCAGTGTCCTCACTGGAGATTCTGATTTTCAATTTTTAGCTTGCCCTGTGGTGCCAACAGGTATATGTCACTCAACCTGTCTGCCACAGCTTACTGACCAAGAGATGGGGTTTTTTGTCCACCGGAGGGAGCTGGAAATGCTCTGTGAAATGAAAATTTGTCTGTGAAATGAAAATTTGTCTGTGAAACTGCCTGTGTTGTGAGAGGTATTGTGCAGGACTGGAGCCAGCCACTCACCAATTCCCTGGGGTGCCTATCCCTGGTTGGGGAGAGGCAGTCCAGCCTACTGAGAGGACAGCTGACCTTGTTATTGTGGTTAAAAAGAAACCAGAGTCTTAAGATTTACTCAGAGGGAAAAAAAAAAAAAAAAGTACAGTGGATGGTTTTGACTATTTACTTTAGAGTAGCTGGGAGAAAGAACTGTTTGTTTTTAATTTTGCTGTGTTAGGAGCATACAAACTCTGTGAATTGGGATGATAGCTATGTGCTCAAGGTGTTTTTCTGGATGCATGTCTCATCCTAAGCCAGGAGCTTTTCAATTGGATGAGGAGGGGAGTCCTCTCAAGAGGGAGAGCATGAAATGGAAAAGGTGGGAGAAGCCGTGAGTGGATGTGCAGAACTGGCA